TGATCTGCTTTTCGAGTCGCTCATTCTCCTTTTCCATTGAATGGACCTTCTGAATGTAGGAGGCCAGACGGTCATTCAAATTCTGGAGCATGAACTTCTCGTTGGCATCAACATGGAGGTCAAGTCCATCAGTGAGACCGAAGCCATTTAAATATTGTGAGCCACCGATCTGGGATGTGGAGATACGGGTGTCACGACCCCCCGCTCCACCGTAGACACTCAGAGTTTGGCGGATGGACCCCTGTCTGTAGGATCTGGAGGTAAAAGACATCCTGGAGAGTCTGGATCTGGACGAGTCAGGATCTGAGCGAGTCAGGAGAACTGGAGATGATCTGCAGTACAAAACATCGGCAGGTGCTCTTGTTTTATAGTGAACACCTGCAGTAAAGGTGGGAGGTGTTAAAAGAATGAATGCAAAAAATAAATAACTCTTTACATTGCAAACTGTTAATCATCTTGGGTGTGGAGGCAAATGGTTTGGGGGCTGATTCCTATCTTCTCTAGTCAAACTTGTGATTCCACATTGTTTTTCAGCATTACTGAAGGGCTGTCATGAGATGAGAACTATTAAAAAAAATTTATTTCAAATAAAAAAAAGTTATGCAAAACTAAAGTAGCCACTTTTCATATTGTTAATGATAGATTAGATTTGGTAGTTTATCCAAGACCAGAAAAAAAAATAAAAAATTGCGTATTCAACTATTAAACCTTTTTTAAAGGGTAGAAAAGTTTCACATATGGTGCATTTTTTTCACCAGAAAGCAAATCTAGATGAAAATAACGTACAATTTATAAATATCCAGTTTGGACAAAGGTAGGTATGTCAAAAAACATTTTTAATCCCATTTTCAGCTGTTTGCTTTAAATGCTTTGCCTTATCATGCACTGCAAATAACTATCTATGTATGTATATGTATATATATATACAGTATGTGTGTGTGTGTGTGGATGCACTGTTTATATATATTTTGACTATTGTGTCTCCTCTGTATTAAAGTTTAACTTATCTTATTTATAAAGCACTTTTTTCAAGTCATTTTTGTGGAGACCTACATAGATCATCACTCTATCATCATTCTATCATTCTATCATCATTCTATCATCATTCTACAATTCACAATTCTCTATAATTCTCTGATTCAACCCAAAAGGACAAAGTGAAGTTTTACATCAGTCACGTTTTTGAACGTTAGTGCCGACTTAAGGAATGAAATGGACTTAAAACTGGATGCTTAGGTCGATGCTTCCTTTTTTAGCTTTTAAGTTAAATATCTGGTTTGGTTATCATTAGCAATTGGAAACCTTTGCAACTTGCTGGCAGTACAGAACAGGTGTGGCCAGGTGCACCACCTACTGCCCAGAAGGTGTTACACTTGTAGCCATCACCTTTACCCGACGCCCTTTCTGGATAAAATAGTCTAAACCTCTGAAAGAATTTTATTTCTAAAACTTTTTATTTTATTAAATCTATTATCAGTTTGTCACATTTGTAACTCAACAGCACAGGCGTAACTTTCTGAAGGACTGGTGTGGACATGTCCCCCACCAATATTTTCTGCTTTTTTCTCCTTTCCGCTCATTTACTTTAGCAAAAAGTAACAGAGGTTTGGTGTAGCTATCTGTCTGAGTCAGTGTTTTTTTTTCCTCTCTCCTGCTGCTCTCGTGTCCCGCATCTCGTGTAGCATCATCCGATCTGTCAATTTCAGACATCTGATTTTCGGTGGCATTTCACTGCGTACAGATTCGCTACATGGTTGGAGGAGAGACACACAGCAGTACTCAGTGAATATTAACTGGCAGCTATTTCGATGAAATAACAGGGATCATGCCAGCAAAAAAATCTGTTTGTTAGACATACAGAGTTTTTTCAGCTAAAAGTGGCAACAGAATGTAAATTTATACAAGTTAGTAATATAATGCAAGAAGCTTGAGAAAACACAGCGTGTTCTTCTTTACTAACTTGGCTTCTCAGAGGACCATAACTCCCAGTTACAGGTTAAAATGTTTTCTTATTGAACAAACAGAATCAGGCTGCAGCTTCTACATATCTTGAAATTTTGTTTCTGGCGTCATTATATTAGTAAAGAGGTTCATAAATCGTTTTAAATATAGCACAGAGAAATTTAGGGA